CCAAACAATCCTCAAAGTCCCTGCTGTCCACCACAGTGACCTCTGATTTTACAGCAGGACTCAGCTCTGCCACCTGCCAGTTGTTCAACCTCTCCAAACCTTTGATAATTCATCCTCACAATGGAAATATTATCTCCCTCTAACTTGCCTACCCTTAAGGAGTGGTTGGGATGACTGAGTTGATCCATGAGGTGCTAGTGGTTTGCTATGTCTCAAATACTAAGACATGCCAGTTTTGTTCAGTTTTTTTGGCTATAAACGCAGACTGCATGAGAGTGGCTCCTGCTTGTCTTCTTGTTATCCAAAATGCATCCTCCAGCACCTAAAAGAGTAGATTCATTTCAGCCTAACCAGATGTGATATGCTAAACCAAATTCAGTGTACGGCTTACCCCTTAAAATGGCAATCCCCAGTGCCTCTGGTCCTAAACCATCCCACCCATACCCCATTTCAATATCTTCAATTAACAGGAAACTCATTCCCTTCATAACGTGGCACCATGCTGAAGTCAGAGAAGAAAAAGCTCTTCCCTACGTCTTACAAAAAAGGGTGCTTCAAGGGAGGCAGTAGAGTGTAGAAGCTGAGTATACAGACTGGCTGCCAGAGACTGAATCCTGGTTCTGCCACTCACTAGTCATGTGATAACCCTCCATGCCTCAACTGCCTTATGTGTAATATGAGAGTAATAATAATACCTACCTCATAGTGCTGTTTGGGGGACTCCATTAATTGATATGTGTAATACACTTAGAAATGTGCCAGACACCGCATGGGTGCTATGTAAGCATTAGCTAATATTGTTATTCTAAAAGACAGAGAAGCTCAAAGGAATGCCTTGCAGCACCCTGATATCTTCTTGAGAATAATACTATTATATACTGAGCACCTACTGAGGACCAGATCAAACCAGTTTTGTGGTCACTTACTGTTTAAATGGGATTATTGTTCCCGTTCTACAAGTGAGGAAAACAAACTTCAAAAAGGTAGGTTAACGATCACAAGGGCTGGTTAACAAATCACCCTACCTGCTTGTGACAGGAGGGATTCAAACTCAGAACCGTGTAGTCCCAGAGTCCAGCTTCACCAAGGAGACCCCAGACTCAAAGCTACCATCAGCAGCAGCACCCAGTAACAGAACTCAACTGACCGTGACTACATTCAACTCATGGCTCAATTTTCTGCCTCTGAATTCCTGGTTGGCTTGCATAAACAGAAGTTAATATCATGCTACTTGAACCCAATTAGGCAGTAAGTCAGCTTGGAAAACATCATGCGATGTATTCCAAAGGTCAAGTAAAAGCTGGCTTCCAAGGCAGCCTTTGCTGGACACTGCCACGAAAGTTAGTCTCTACGCCCTCTACACCTACATGAGAGTTTAACCAGGAAGGTGCTCAACCAACACCTAAACAGGCTTTTTAAAAGTCCCAGAGAGATGGAGGACAGCATCGGAGGACGTGACACCAACGAATTTTCAGGCTCTTCAGCCAATAGCCAGAGAAAGACAGTTTACTTTTTTCCAAAAGCAAACTTTATTCCCTCTCCTCAGGTTTAGGATCACATTTACTAGTGTAGCTGTCTTCCCCCAGGCAAAAATAAAAGGGAAAGGGGCAGGAAAAGAGGAAGCGGGTCTACCTACCCCACCTGAATGAAACACGCAGCTCGACCTACCTTCCCGGAGAGCCCAGCCCAAGAGGGCGTTTCCCCAGTGCACCGACAACTCTTCCCTCCCTGGTAAGGAGCTGCTGTCCTTGGCTTCAGTCAGGGGCACTAGAGTCGCGTGTGCGACTCCCCTCCCCTAGCTTAAAGAAACCTCCTGTTTAATTTTCCCCTCACCCTATCACTTTCGCCGAAGGAGCAAACATCAGAACGATCGGTTAGTCCTTAAGGCCACATTGAACTACGTCTAGAACGCCCGCAGGAAGAACAGCGAAATACCCGAGAAGGGCGGGGGAGGCAGGGAGCGCGATTGGGGGGGGCAGCTAAGAGGATCGTCGTCCTCCCCAGGCAACCGCCGCCGTGGCGCTCCAGCAAAGCCTCAGGCCGCCGGCGCGGGACCAAAACCCCCATCAGGGCCCAAAGCACAACCGGGGGTCCCCGGAGCCAGCTCCCCCTGCCGCCTCCGCGGCGGAGGCCGTCGGGGCGATGGCGCAAGACTCCGCTCCCCCCGCCCCCCACGGCGACAACAGCCACGGTGACAAAATGGCAGCCCGGCGCCCGGCAGTCGTGCCACAGGCGCGCAGGGCCTTGGCGGCTGCCCCCGCCCCCCCAAAACGCCACGGCGCCCTTCGGGCTCAGCCCCGGGCGGGCCTAGCCGTTAAAAATCGTAAAAACAAATAAAACAGCTGGAGCTCGAAATCAGGTAGAGGAGGCAAGAGGCTCACCCGGCGCCCCCACCGCCCGCCAGCGCCCCGAGCCGCAGGGAGCCAGGAGCCCACATTCCGAGCCCCACGCTCCGAGCCCGCCGCGCCGTGGGGGAGGGGCGGGGCGGGCCGCGAGAGACCCGGGAAACATGGCTGCTCGTCCTATTTCGGCGTCGCGGCGTGGCCACCAGCCCCCGGATCCGAGTTGGGAGAGGTTCCGAAGGTGGGTGTGGGGGGGGTCCGGGGGGGAGCGCGGCGGGGAAGGGTGCAGGGGGGCGCTCTCCCCGAGCTATTTGTCTTAACGTTTTTAAAAAAATACAGTTCCTCCTCCCCCACCCCTTTTGTCCCTCTTTCGGTAGCTTTCTTCCCCTCCCCCCAAAATGTGCAAAAAGTGCCCCCTCCCCCGCCACCCGCGCCCCACCCCGCCTTAAGGCAGGGGGCAGGCGTGTGGGCCGGGAGACTCGGAGGCGAGGGGGCGAAGCGTGAGAAATCGCTCCCAGTTCGGCGCGGCGCGCTCCCCTCCCCCAGCACACACACTCGGGAAGTTTAAAGAGCCGGTTCGACCCGCTTTCGATCTCGCTTTCAGTTGGCCAGCAGTGTTGATCGGGTTCGCCAGGCGAACCTCGCCTCCACAGCTGGCAGCCACGACCCCGGCCCCCTACTTGGCGCCCTTCCCCCTCCGCACAGGGGGCTTCCGGAAAGTACGCGGGAAGACCGCGGCTCCGGCCTCCTCCCCCATCACCACACCCAGCCCCCAAATGCTCTGGCTCCGGGTCCAAACTGGGGTGAAACTGGCCAGAGAAAGGCAAACCTCCGGCAGACCGTTCGCGGAAACTCCAGCGTCTCCGGCGGCACCCCCTCCCCTCCCTCGGCCAGCCCTCTCCCCGCCCTGCGCGCCATAAGGCACTCGCACGTCTACAGTCCACAGCTGCGTTATGATGAGAAAAGGGGAGACAAAAAGGATCTTGTTTTCAAAAGTCTCACTTAGGTTTGGGGAAGGAACTAGGGAAAGAGGAAGCAAGGCCTGCCTTCGCCAGGGATTCGGGTTTAACGGGCTGGAGGGGCGGCAGGTCAGCGCACAGTGCTGCTGAAACTCCCAACTCTGTGGAACACCGGCCACGGAGGCTATGGGGCTGCCCGCGCGCCCCTGGTCACCCCCAAGGACCAGGAGGGGAGTTGGCCGGCGTCTCCGCCCTAGATCTTGGGTCTCCACCAGTGAGCCCCCAACTCTCATAAAACACTGATGTTTGAAAGCGAGAGCGAGACAGAAATAAAAACGAGCGATCGAGTCACCCACCATCTCCTTCTCCCTCCTTGGCGTTGGGCATTAGCCTGAGTCTCCCAGTTCCCACCCGTGTAAGTTTCCTCCGGCCGTACTCCGGCTGCTGCCCAATCAATAACGGCAACGGGAAGGCAAACTCCCATCCTGGAGCTGCGTGTTTGCCATGCCCGCATAAATGTGGACCCAGCCAATACACACCGCGGGCACCAGCTCTGGGCAGCTCGCGTCCTGACAAAGTTTCCCGTGCCCATTTATTAACCAGGCGCCGAATGGCTGCCGAGGAGCACACCCCTGAGTACGACGGGCCAGGGGTTCGTGCCCGGGGTTTGGGGGCACAGGACCCGAAGGCTGGCATCTTAGTGAGGTTGGAAGGAGCTGGGGTAAGGGGGGACTGGGACATAGCCTTCGGGCAACTTGCGCTAGCGACCGCTCGAAGTGGGGAGGCGCGGGGATTATCTGTGCTTTTGCACGTTCGAAAATCCCTCCCCCTTCTTCTAATTTATCTTCCCTTCAGAAGGAAAGGAAGAAACATCAGCATCTGGCCCGAAGGTGGGGTGGAAAGAGTGAGGGAGAAAGGAGCAGAGGAAGGGAGGCAGAGAAAGGGAGGGAGGGAGAGAAAGGGCGCGTTCACGAACACTACAAAGTTACAAATATGGCTCCCCCGTCTCTCGCCTCATCACTGCAAAGAAATGAAGACGCACTTTAAACTCGAGCCATTCTCAACTCGACTGCAGCCCCCTCCCCACGCGCTCTCCCCGGGGGCCTCGGCCCACATTTATCTGAAACTAAACCGGACTCGCAAAGCCGAAAACTTATTGTGTGTGCAAGCGAGCGGGCGAGAGAAAGGGAGGGGGAAGGCGCAGGAGGAGGGCGGAAAGGGGGATACATTTATAAAATATAAAACCCTCTTTTTTGTTGTTAAATCCAGGAGGCAGCCCCTCTCCTCCTCCCCCCTCGTTAATCTTCCCCCCAGACGGAGTCACGGGAGCAGCGAGCTCCAAGGGTTATTTTGGCTCATTCTCTCCGACCCAAACGCGTGCGCCCGCTGGCCCCCGATGGGTGCACACACTCTCGCACGCACACTCTCGCACCCACACTCGCACACGCGGGAGCACACGCACAGGTAGTCACACACCAAGGGCAGCGGCGGCGGCTGCCGGAACATGCTTGGATGGCATTGCAACCCCCCAACCTTGCAATTCATTTGCAGCCCGACCTCCAAATCCACACCTCCCGGACGACCCCCCTCAAAAAAAAAGTGCCTCCCCCGTCCAACGCGCGCGCACACACATACACACACACACACACACACAAAGTAGGAGAATGGACCGACAGAGATATTTTTGGCAAATGCTCACATCAGAGGGCGTCCTGTTCCGCAGCTCTAAATGAATCCGTTTGTCCATCTCCATCTCTCACGCTCTCTCTCTGCAGAGGCTCCCGCGCCGGCGGAATTCAATCAATAAACCCCGAACCCACGGCCGCGCGTTTTAGGACTTTGAAGGCTCAACCAGCTCCGCTGGGTTCTCGAGCCCCCAGCACCCGCGGCGCACACTAACCTGATCACCGTGGAGGCGGGATCTGCGGCCCTGCGGACGAGCGGCAGCAGCTTGAGCCAATCGCCGCCGAGGGCCTACAAGAAACAGCCAATGGTGGCGGCGGCGGGGGGGGAAGGGACCAATGGACGGGCTGCGCAGCCGGCCAGAGAGGCTCAGCCATTTGGTTGTGGTGCCGGAGACGGACCCCTTTAGATTTCGGGGCGGCTGAGGAGCTCGGCGGTAGCTCGGTGGCTGGGTGAGGGGGGTGGGCTGAATGGCGGGGGAAGGGAAGGTGACTGCCTCGATTGCCGAGGCGCTGGGCCTCGCCAGCTAGCCGCCGCCTCTGCATTCGGCCGGGGGCGGGGCCGCAGGTGCGTTGTACGAGGGGGAGGGGCGCGGCCGGAGGGGTCGACTCGGGGTCCCCACCCGGCCGAGGGCTTCGCGGGGCCGACCGGGACCTGGCCCGCTCCACACGGCAGGCTTGCGGTAGGAGGCGAGTGGTATGAAGTCTGGAGGCCGCGGACTGCCCCGCGGGCAGGCCTATGAAAGGCCTGAAAAGAGGGGGAGGGGTCAAGGGTGCAGCGAGGGGGGGAGGGGCTCGTCACATTCTGGGTCGGGCCGGAGGAGTGTAGCCCCTCACCGCCGCGGCCTCCAGTCTCGGACTGCGGCCCCCGGCCCGCACGCCCCTTCCCCTCCCGCCTCGTACAGGTCAGGCCTCTGCCATCCCCGCCCCTCGAATAAACAAGTAAATAAAAGCAAGACGCTTCCACCTTTGGGTGACTTACTGCGCGGTCTCGACCCTCCCCAAGAAGAGGCATTTCATTTTGCTGTCATGTAAGGTCAGCTTGGAAGAAGTGATTACCAAGAGGCACCAAGGATCTTGTTTAGGCAATAAATGAATAGAGACCACAGATTAAGAAATGTTGATGGGTATATATGATAGAGTATTAAAAAGTGGAAAAGGAACGTGCTAATAACTCCTTGTTTTCTGGCCCAAACATAATGTATGGGCTTTAAAGATCTAGTGAAAAAGAACGGCGCACAGTTTATTCTAATCGTCCATCTGAGTCATTTGGTTCGATTTGGGTTGCCAAGGAAGCTCTAATTGGAGCACTTTCTGCAGGTTTTTCGTTTTGCTCGCTTTGGGTATTTTTGAATCACATTAAGTTTTAAGAGACCTTAAAGCCCGATTCCCACTGGGTTACCAACTTCTTATGGCATTAAATTGGCTTCCTGTAGCTGTTAATAAATCACAGGGGTGGTTGTCAACGACAGATACATCCTTCCTTTACCTTTCCACACAACTGTGTTTCACTGTCTTATTTCTACATGTCTCACTCTTAACCACACACTTCATGTAGTTTTTTCTTTTTGCATACATTGTGCTTATTTTTCAGGGACGTGAGTTCAAGAGAGAGAGAAATCAGTATGTATGTTGCAAATTTAAAACATTGTTACATAACACCAGTACAGTTTCATTGTTGAAGTTTAGGAGAAAATAAAAAGTGATGGAATGTAAATAAAACATACAGAATGCTTACACAGGGGAAGAAGCTGTAACTTTAATATTGCAACCTGTTTGATAGATTGCAAACAAAGTGTGGCAACTAAGCATTTTAGTCAGTAAAATTCTTTCAGATAAAATAATAAATGGACTTTGAAATCGGATATTTACTCCCTGAGTAGCTAGAAAATGAAAAATAAAAATTAAAAGTCATTGTTTTACTTCATCGGAGCATAAGTAATATCATTTATTTAACTTGTTGACTTAGCTGACATGTGTCATCCTCAGATTTTGTTAATTTTGCTGAAGTCTATTTCTGTAGTTGGAATTTATTCTTTTTCAATTATATTGGCTATTTTAAAACATGAACACCTTATTACCTGTCTTCCCATGGAGTCAGTTGTTATTTCTGGATATGGTATTTAAGGTTGTTTTCAAACAGAGCTCTTCATTACAAACAAGTCAATATGGTGTGTACAATTTATGTAACACAGGACTCCTGAAGTTTATGTTCTCTCTGATGGTAAATGCTCATCTTCAATGTAAAATTTTAACCACACTTAATACCAAACTGCTAGCAATGCCATAGGAGACAGCGTGTTTCCAGAGGAGTAATCCTTTAAAAGTAAACCAATCAAATGCAGAGATGTGCCCCATCCAACTCTGCTGAACAGAAGCGAATAGCTCACTTTAGCGTACAAGGACTGAAGATGAAGACTTAGAAGCTCAAACCTCCATTAAAAAGAGTATACAGAGAACGAATTAAAATTAGACTTGAAAAAATCATGCCCTGATCACTAAATCAAAATATTAAATATTTTAATATTGCTCGTGTGCAATTTTAATGTTGTTCGTGTGCAACAGTTATTTTTACAAGCATCCTAACCTTATGTATTTTGATGAGAGCTTTTGTATTAAAAAACTAAAAGAAGGTTTAATTGGATATTATTACAGAAATTGAAATATCAAAAAAACATAATATAACCAATGGAATACTTGCCATTTTCTCAACATACTTTGAAAGAAAAAAAAATACTCTCTTACAAGAGATAAATTTTATTTACTTATTTTTAAGACAGTCTTGCTCTGTCACCCTGGCTAGAATGCAATGGTGTCATCATAATTCATGGCAACCTCAAAATTTCTGAGTCTAGTAAAACTTGCGTCTCAGCCTCCCAAGTAGCTGGGACTATAGGTACATGCCACCACACCCACCTAATTGTTTCTATTTTTGGTAGAGACAAGATTTCACTTGCTTTTAGGCTAGTCATGAACTCCTGACCTGACGTGATCCTCCCACCTGGGCATTCCAGAGTGCTGGGATGACAGGTGCAAACCACCATGCCCCACCTACAAACAGATTTATTTGTAATTTACTTGTAAGGAAATTTTAATGTAATTTTGATTTTTATTATCAAAAGGAAATAGGAATATATCTCAGCTAAAGCTGATCCATTTGCCCCTCATGGCTTAATCAAATATTGAAAAACAATCTGCTCTTATAGTCTTTGTTTTACAGCATTGTTCCTTAAGTTACATTTTATTGCACAATATATTAGTAAATAAGTGCTCTGAATGGCTCTGCATTTCAGAAAATATAGTAAGAAAAAAGCCCCATTTCAAGGACTCTTGGCTGTATTTTGAAATGGAATGGAAACAGGTAGTTGCTAACTACTGAGTGATTCTACAATAGAAATTAGATTATGAAAGATGTAGAATCTCTAAATTCTGCAACTGGGTTTGAGTCACAGAAAAGAATCAATGAGATACAATTTAAAATTTGCCCCCCTAGAGAAAAAGATGGCCAAGGAAGGAAAAGATATTATCCCGCCTTCTGGAGTATTTTCCATTAAGAACCATTCCACACAAATGGACAGCCTATTTTGTTCTCAAAGACATATGAGAAATGGGTGTCCTTAACTTCTTTTCGTATGTGTTGGAAATTACTGCTTTGTAAATGGGTGCTGCTGCCATTTTAGCTCCTTTGCCCCTGTTTGGGATTTAAAGGTAGAGACCCTTCAGTTAGCATCCTTTCTGAGTCAAACTAATACAGGTGTCCATAAAGCTCGTGTGCAACTATTTTAAATTGCACCCAATCTTTATGGACACCCACTATATCTACAGTTCAACAACTTATTCTTCAGCTTGATTCACATATGCTGGAACCTGGCCATAGTACTCCTACCTATGTGGTGGTTCTGCTGCTTGGACCCCAAAGGCAATGATATGGAAAAACTCCAGCTTAATTATATTCTCTTTTGTCTGTTTACGTAAATAGTTTTTAGAAATGTAGATTATTCTTTTGAAATCCATGGTAACAAATGTGAAGACTACTACATTTTGATCTGAATAACAAAATTATGTGATGTCCTGGAATCCACAAAGTTAAATATTCCTAATTTCTTTTGTTTAGTAAAGCATTGAATGATTTTTTTTAAAGAAATAATTTCTTAAGTGATTGAATAGTTAAATATTCCTGATTTTCTTTTGCTAATAAACCATTGGATAACATTTTAAAATAATTTTTTAATCCTCACATATAAAAATGGGTTAAACAAGAACAATAATGTTTAAAATATAAACATAAGGCTCAGTCAGTGCCCATAGCATAGTGGTTATTGCACCAGCCACATACACCAAGGCTAGTGGGTTTGAAACTGGCCTGGGCCTGCTAAACAACAATGATAACTGCAAAAAAAATAGTTAGGCATTTTGGCTGGGACCTGTACTTCCAGCTACTTGGGAGGCTGAAGTAAGTGAATCACTTAAGCCCAAGAACTTGAGGTTGCTGTGAGCTATGATGATACAGCACTCTACTAAGGGTGACATAGTGAGACTCTGTTTCATAAAATATACATATACATATGTATATTTGAATAATTACTTTATCAATGGGTTGTTCATGGAGAAAAAGCAGTGGATGACAACAGTGATTATATGTTATTTTAAACATTAAACTACTAAGCCCAGCACAGTGTGGTGTGCCTATAAGTCCCAGCTGGGGGGAGGCTGAAGCAGGAGGATTGATTGACCCTACGCGTTTGAACCCAGCCTGAGGAACACAGTGAGACTATCTCTCGCTCTTAAAAAATGAATAAATAAATAAACTAATAGTAGAAATCTTAAAAACAGTGTAAGATGGTTTATTTTTGAAAAGGAAAAAAAATTCACCTGCACTTTTGTTTGGAATTCACTAGAAAATTTGCAAATCTGTTTCTTAAATAGATTTATTAAAGATAATTTGGGGGTACCAATCAAAGGAAAGTTTACCATTCATCAGGAAGAAAACCAAATACTAATATTTTTAGTATTAAAATATGTCTGTAAAGAAGAATAAATGCCTTAAAAACAAATAATGGAATGAGGAGCTATAAAACAAAGATTGTGACTAAAGGCAATTTAGGTTGAAAAAAATAGAAATGCAATTAATTGAGAATCTACTAATTTGTTTTAATCCTCCTGGAGTTGAAGTTTAACTCTGTGAAGAAAAGGGCACTAAAATCCATTAAGATATAAGCGGTGGAGATTAGACTTTCTA